GTTCCGAAAGAAGGTTTTTAAGGATCATCTCTGATGCCTGCAGGTAGAAAAGAGGAGAGGACATTCCAGGAAGACAGAACAAATGACTCAAAGGCCCAGAGGAGTCAAGCAGTAGGGTATATCTGGGGAAATCCAAACAGTCCAACATTGCTGACCTTAGAGCGCTTGTGGGGAAAGCAAACGAGAGTAAGCATTTCTCAGATGGAGATTCTATTGGTAAAGTGTGGAGTGGCACAACCTAAACAGCACACTGGTTGACTCTTGGGTTGATACTGCTATGTATATATTGATGGCTATGAAGATAAATACAGTTTAAATAACAACAAGGACTTTTTAGTCCTTCTATGACCACATATACAATATAAAAGGCAGCAGCTTTATATAGTTTTTAAAATACAATATATCTTTTCTCTTGAGGCCCTTGTCCATTTCAGTGATTCTACATTTTAAGTGGTGAACGCGGACAGAATAAAAATCTACCTTATTCGATATAGGCATGCAATCAGAACCCAGTTTATTTATGAAAAGAATTGATTATTCTTTCCTGATGGACATTAACCAGGTTTCTCTTTAGCTGGGTCAGCTCTTTGTTACCTTATACAACTTTTCATCTTGTAGTTTTCTTATGTGGTTAAATGAAAGACTATAAATAGCCTTGTGGTGCCTGGAACAAAGTATGCCCTCAATAAATTGCCTGGCCAAGTCTATCAGACATTAGATTCATTTAAAGCACATGATATAAGAAACATGCAGTTTTAAGAGTTTACTATTAACTCTGCTGAATCTGTCATGTTTGATAAATTCTTTGCTTACAAATGACTGCAATCTGTTAACAGTCATGAATTTGACATGTCTCCCACTTAGCTCTTTAAAAAGAGTGTTATAAGGCTAACTACTGGTAACTATAGGTGAAGAATATTCCCTTTGAACAGCACAGTGTGGCATGTGGTAGAGCAGTACCCCATGAATGCTTGTTGGGTACCACTTTACCACAGAACAAATTATTAATAGGTTCTAATCAAGGCCTCTGATTCTTCACCAACAAAACCTTTTCATTCTCAGTTTTGACCAGAGAAGTACTGTCCAACAGAGATATAATGAAAACCACATATATAAGTTTATATTTTTCAGTATCCACATTTGAAAAATTACAAAGGAATAGTTGAAATTAGTTTTAATAATATATTTTATTCAACCCAATATATCAAAATATTAGCATTTTAATATGTAATCATTACAATACTTACTGAGATATCTTACTCCTACTTCTTTTCCTCCTAAGTCTTTAAAAATCTGATGTGCATTTTATACTTACCGCATATCCCAATTCAGGTGATAAATTTCCATCAGAAATACGTGATCTGTATTTAGATTTCAGAAAATTTATAGTTGAAAAGGTAGATTCATATACTTCAGTTTTTTCAAACATAATTAAAATTTTCCAATCACAGAATCAAACCAGTTTTTAAATTTAAATTATTTAAAATTATATCAAATTAAAATTCAAGAGACATGTTAAGTGCTCCATAGCAACATGTAGCAAGTACCTACAGTATTGGACAGTGTACTTCTAGAATTCTACTCCACAATGCTGATGGTAGGCAATTTACATTTCAGGGTAGGTTGAGTAGATCTTTATTTCTCTTTTGTTTTGTCAGTACTTCAAATTTCTTCTGAAACTTTTATTACCCTAACACATTAAGTTAGAAACCTCTAAATTGAATATGCCACATTTGGTTAATAACCCTAAAGAAAATTACTCAAAGCCTCAAAATATTCCTTTTGTCCTTTCTCCATAGTCATAGGCACAGAAGCTATATATAGTGACAAAAGAAAATTTTGCTTATGAACATTTTCATTACTAAGGACTAGGGTTAAATAGTTTTGATCCCATCACCATACTGCCTCATGCCATTTTAAGGGGAGAAGAGCTCACATAGGGGTACACACTCAGTAACTCCTTTTAGAAAAACACAATGACTTTTTTTAAAACCTATGCAAAATGCATTTTCACTTAGTTTTCATTATATACCAAGCCAAAAACTGTGGGTATTAATAAGGATTATTTGAATGCTATTTTTTAGATAGATGGAGTTGTTTCTAGTCTATTTTGTTAGTTAGAATTACGGATTTTAGTTACCCAGTAATGACTCCCTTTGAATGTAATTCCACTGTTATTAAACTTTCTTTGGGTGATGACTTAAAAAATAAATATTCCTTACTATTATTACATAATATTCAGTAAATTTCAGCATGCGAGCACAGTGTAGAAAATATAGCTAAGGGATTTGTCCGCGGCTTTTAATATACACTTTAGCCTGTGGAAGCCACTGTGTCAGAATCCCGGGCTCTCCTTTGAGCTCTGTCTCTAATTAGCCATTATACCTCACAGGGGGGTGAACCTGTGGGTTTGGTGACTGGTGCCAAATTGAACAGTATCACATATTTCAGTTATCTTCTGTATCTTATTAACCTGGTGCATAAGTCGACTTAGCAGAATTTTATAAAATGGAAATAAACATGCCGTCAGGGTCACCATGAGGATAAAATTATGACATGATATGTGCGTATACTTTGAAGAGCAAAATCCAAGCTACCAGCTGAAGGAATAATTCATATTCCAATGGGGCTGAACACCCTTTCACAGATATTTGTTTATTTCCAGGTTAACTCAGGTACTGTTGTAACACAAGGTACTCTTGTGTGGCTGCAGCAGTCAATGGTGCTGCTGACACTGTATTCGCAGCCTCTGTAGGCAACAGACGCTCTAGTTGATAAGGAAAGTACAAGCTTATGCCCTGGCAACTTCGAGACATCTTGGTGATTCTGGATCTCTGCAGAGGGACTGTAAAACTTGGCATTCCCAGTCACACATCACAGTTCAGGAGGTGGCCTTGCAGTCCCATAACCTAAATTCTGTTTGAAGAGTGATGACCACCAAGGGATCTTGTGATTTTCATTTGCTTTGTAAAATTGGAAATTGCTTACAAGATAAAATGCTAAAGAAATAAATACATAGATGGTGTTCAAAAAGCGAACGTATATTGAGTGAGAATTTTTTTTTCTCAGAGGATTTTTGTGTTTGCTATTTTTAGGTCTTTTGAACGAACCCATGTTTCAAGGGTCGAGTGTTAACTTTTCAGAAACAACCTTTAATGAGTCAGGATAAAAACCATCTGGTGCAAGAATTTTTTCCTTCAAATGAATGAACTTCAGGAGACAGGAGGAATTTCCCACCGTCATAAGATTTCGATTGGAGGCTTATGGAAATAGCTAAAAAATGGATCTATCCCCTCCTATCTATTGCTCCTTTTATTTTCCTGTCCATCCATGGAAGGAAGTGAGAAAAAAATATTGGAAAGAAGAGAAATAGAAAGATGCTAAGGTTTTTGTCTTAGAGGCTGAATATGCAAAATGTAACCTCTCAGATGAGATAGAAAAGAAGCAGCGTTGCTTACAAAGGGCTAATGGGCCCTGGACAATGAACGCTCTAGAGACAGTGATGTCTGCAGGATGCAGTGAATGGCAGGTGGGTGGAAGGGTAAGGGAGCCACCTGGAAGGGATAAGACAGGGCCAAAATCAGAGACAGCTGTCCACCCTCCCTAAATGAGCTCGCCTAAGTGATACTTCCTTGAGTCCCAGGAAGTGACGATCAGCCAGGGTAAACGTTGTGACTCCTGGGTCTCACCCATTCTGGGGGTGCAGCGGGGCGCCAGGGGACCTCTTTAGCTGGCTCCATTCCTAAGGAGGCTGCGCCGTCGGGGCCTGAGCCCCTTGCACTAAGGATTCTCCAGCCGCCCCTCGGAGGCCGAGGCCGCTGGCGCTTCTGAAGGCTTTTGTGCCCTTTGCCCAACCATGAGGATGACCCTGAACCTAACGGCTCCCGAGAAAAGGGGACTGACTGAAAGAGGGCTCAGGCGAGGACGGGACCTGAGAAAGCATGGAAACCGGGGCAGAGGAGTAGAATTTAAGAATGGCAAAAGTCCTGAGGTAGGAGAGAGAAGGTGTAAGATCCAGGGCAGAATTGTACCCAATTCTTCCCCAATGAAACGAACAACAAAAAAAATTTTTTAAGGCCACTTATTTGCATCGGTTCCCTCTCATTCCAACCCGGCAAAAACCAAACATGAATAAAAATAAAACCACCAGAGGCTCTTAGACGACCGTAAACTCCGCGGGTGGGGCAAGAAACAAAAATAAACACTGGGACAGGCGGGCGAGAGCGCGCAGGAGGAGGAGGAGGAGGCGGCCCCGCATCCCTAATGAGGGAATGAATGGAGAGGCCCCCTCGGCTGGCGCCCGCCCACCCGGCGGCGGCCGCCAAGTGCCTCTGGACGCTGCGTGCCGCGCCCGCCGCTCCGCGCGCAGCCGGCTCGGGCCGCTCCTCCTGGCTGAGGCGCGGCGACGGGGGCGGTGACCGCGCGGACTGAGCCGGGACGCTCGCGCCGGGGGCTCAGGGCGCCGCCGCCGCTGGGCCCCGGGCGCGTGGATGCGGCTGGGCCGGGCGGCGCCGCACACCTGAGGCGAGGAGCGGGGCGCGGCGCGGGCGGCGCTGTCAGGGCCGCGGCTTCCGACGCCGAGGCGCGCTCGCCGGGACGGGCCAGGCAGTGATTTGAGGCTCCGGGTTCACCTTCACTCATGGCCCGGAGAGCCTAGTGGGGCCTGGCCGCCGCCTCCCGCCTCCCCTTCCCTGCCTCCCTCCCCTCGCGCCGCATCCTGCCATCCTCCCCGCTCGGCCAGCGCCGGGCAACCGCCTCGCCCGGAGCCCTCCCTCGTTACTGCCCGCGTCCCCCGGCGCCGCCGCCGCGGGAAGCGGCTCCCCCTCCTCTTCCTCCGCGTCCTCTTCTCCGGCTGCCCCGCCGGGGCCGCTTGTTGCACCGCCCCGCGGCCTGCGGGAGCCGCTCGCCCCGGCCCCGGCCTTTTGCTCGCGTCCACACTCCCTTCTTCTAGCCCCCGGGGCCCGCACCCCAGCCCGGCCGGCGAGACCCAGGCCCGACCCCGTCGCCCGCACAAAATGTCGGCCCGGACGCCATTGCCGACGGTGAACGAGCGGGACACGGAAAATGTGAGTAACCGGAGCCTCCCCCGGGAGCGGCCGGGGCGAGACCCTCCTCCGATACCCACTTCACCTTCGCCTGGGCCATCCCCAGTGCCCCTGTGCGGCCACCCGCGGCAGGGTCTCCACCTGGAGCTCGGCGTGACCCTTACCAACTGCTCAGCCCTATTCTTCATTGCAACCCCATTTCGCTGCTTTCCCCTCAAGGGTGAGGGTGGGGGGACTGTAAGTGGAGCCCTCTCGCTCGTAGGTGGTCCTCCAGGAGCGGATGGGGTGATGGAGGGCAGAGAGGCAGAAGGAGATGGCAGAGTGGGCATCCAGGATTGCTTTATTTCTACCTCTGCATTCTGTATCCCCACCCGAATGAGTGTTGGCTTTACGATAACAGACGAGCCAGCTACCTCTGCTTTTCTGGATCTTTCAGTCTTTCAGTCCTTGCACACACACCCCCTCCCCGCATTGCCCCATGACTTTGCTTTTTGAAGCACTGGTGTCCACATTTGGGGTCATGGGCGCCAAAGGCAGAAGGATGGGAGTGGAAGTAGAGATGTGTGTATGTGTATGTGAGTTTATACGGCTGTGATGCTCTTTAGTAGAGATGAGTAGAAGAATTTCACGGCTTCTGTGGCCCTGGGGTTACAGCAAAATGTTTAAAAGCCATATGAAGCCAACGGCTTTTTAATCTCTTCCTCAAGTCAGTGGTAATGATTCAGGGCAGGTTTTACTTTAAATCTCTCTCCTCCTTCTTGGAGTGTCACAAGGGGCATTTCTTTGAAGGAAGGATTTTCTGTGTCTTTGATCAAATTGCCCTCAGGAGTTTTTATCAAGATGCAGATATCCCTGGTGTCTAAACTCTTGAAAACACCAAAAGAACATGATCTGTTGTATTTCCACCTTCTGAAAAGTACAGTTGTGTATGTGTGCAAGTTCCTTTGTGGGAAATGTTTTTTGCTTTTGTTTAAAACCCTCAAGATCTGTAAATAGGGCCTTGTCTGATTTTCCGACTGGTTTTAAGGAGCTAGAGGAGTACTCAGTTTTGGTCTGCTGTCCAGAGATGTCTGGTTGTCTAGTTAACTCATCAGCCCTCCAGCTTTTGATGTACCAGTGACTTCATAGGGTTGGTAAAATAAAATAATGAAGTGCTTTGGCATTCTTAGACAAAAGACATGAGAGAAGAGATACAAGCTCACTTCTGAGTTGTTAGAGGGGGGTATAAGCAGATTGTTTAATCTTGGAGAGTAGGGGAGCACAGAAACTTAATATAATTATGTGAAGGGAGGAGAAATGCTAGTAAGAGACCATTGTTAGAGGACCTGTGAAGATGTTTCAGAGCATGCTTTTGTCCTCTCTAGTGTAGTGCATTTAAAATGGTAAAGATAGTAAGGCTGCTATCTGAAATTAAAACTTAATTATTATGCATCATAACTACTTGAAAAATATAATTGATACATAATTTCAATTGAGAGATTGGACAGGTCAGAGAAAAAGATGAGAAATTTTGGTTTAAGCTGATTTTACAGCCAAGTTGGCACAGAATTTTTCTAACAGGAACTCTATAAAAATTCCTGTCATTCAGGAGTGTGAATGAAAAGTGAGACAGATGATGACCTTTGTTTTTATTAGCAAAATGCTGGATATGTTAACCTAGGAGGAGTGGAAAATACATTGTTTTTACTTTCTTTTGGATTTTGAATAGTATAGCTCTCCTCATACTTGAATGAATAAGGTACTTTATACAGACATGAGATAGCATTATATTAATGGAAATATGCATCAAGGAATAGTTCAAAATGCAGCCTCTCATGTTAGACTAAAAAAAAAGGAGGATTTTAAAGCTGAGCAGTAATAGTATGATAAATTTCGTCGTGAGTACCTTCTGAAAACGTGCTGTATGAACTCATTTGCTGTTTCTGAACGTGATATTTCAAAGTCACTTTTATGGTCTCATCCCTTACTGTGCCGTACATAACAATATCTCCATTTAGCTTACTTTACCCACATTCTAATTTTCTTCTAATTGCCATGGAAAATATCTGTTATACTACGGCTGTTAATTAATCAATAAGTATGCACTCAGCTATTTTTGAACTAGCAGGAAGGGGATACAGAAGTAGAATTTAAGACAAGGCCTCTCCCCTCAAGGAGTTTACGGGAGAGATAAATGTAATCCCAAACAAAGAATGTACAGTAGAAGACATTGTATACATAAGGCTAAATTGGTTTATAAATGTTATAGATATTTATCAAAGGGGCCACTACTAATGGCTATTTAATTACCATTGTTGTCTCTATTTTCTGGTTGATAGTGAATAGTGTTATTTATTCTTACCTGTCATCTATGAAATAAAGTAACAAACCTACTTGTTAGCCAATATATTAATGCTAGTATGACAGTCAAAATATACATTTTTTGTAGTGATTTTCAATTAGGTGATATATTTTCAAAAATAGTTACGAAAATTTTGTATTTGTATGACTATTAAGGGGTTCTAAGTCCTTTGGAATATCAAAGACAGTAACTGAAAACATTTTATTACCTTTAGAAATTAAAATCAACAAATACAGTAATTTAAGAAGCTATCTTGGTTTTTTTTTGTCCTTTGCAGTTAATACAGAAATTTCTTTGGTCATACATACATTTGGATTTTGTATCCTTGGGAATATGTAATGTCTACCCTTCCCAATGTCACTAATACATATTCAGGAAAAATTAAAAAATTCAAAAGGGGAATGTTATAGCTCTGATCTCTCATATAGTACTACTGAATATAGTAGAATGAGAAAGAATTGCTTTTCTTTGAGAACATTGTGTGTATACTTTTTCAGGGGTATTTTCTTAGAAGAATGATTTGTGAGTGCTGTGTTAATAGGCTTCAACTGGCTGAATACAACAGAACAACCAATGATTAACTTTTAAGGCAATAAACACTTCATAATAAAGTAGAAAATACATGTTGCAGATAATAGAATCTATGCAAAATGTGTTTATTTTAGGTTGTAAAGAGTAAGTCCAGGAAGAGAATGACTGTTGGAAAGATTTATCTTTATTTTCTTTTGTTAGATTATACTTGGATAATTCCAGCATGGATATAGATAATATATTACTATTACTCTTATGTGTTTTTTAATGAAACAAAAAAATTTTAGTGTTTTGGAAAGACTCAGATTATGCTAATTTTTATGCATCAAACATGTCCAATCTAGCTTTCTGTGATGAAATTTTGATCAGTATGAAGAAAATGGATTTGACTGCTTCTTGGGATGTTTTAAAGTTGAATTTGGTTTGTTTAAAAAAATCTTTAATAAAAAAACTCTTGATGGTGAGTTCTTTTGATAGATCTGAAATTGAGGATGATGATGATAACGATTACTTAATGTCACTAAGGTGGCCATTAGTAATTTGTCCTGTGGGAATAATTGTTCATAGTGTGAAAAGGTGAGAGGAAAGCATGCCTTTGCCATTACCCGTGGGTTTGCGTAGTACCCTGTGAGTCCCTCATATGTCACAGTACCTATCACGTTGTATTCTAATTGCTGCCTGACTTTGTCTCCTTTATTTTGTATTGCCAATACCAGCATGTGACTAGAAAGAGTAGTAAGAGATCAGTATTGTAACATTGCCTTTGCATTTTTTCATTTATCATCAAAATATATTAGTGACATTGCTAAGGGTAGACATTACATATAATAATCTGAGAGGCTGAAGCCTTCAGAGAGAAAATTAAGTGACCTACCCAATAAATCTCTGACATCTTCCACTGTTACTCTACTCATGCTATTGCTTCTAGGAGGTGGTTTTTTTGTTTGCTTTGTTTTTGTCGTAGAGATTTTAGAGGAACATATGAAATGGTGTGATATGCTTTATTAGAGGAAGAACAGGGTATGCCATCTTTAGATCTACTTCTAAACCTTTACTGTTTCCTCTGTCTGGAGTGCCCTGCCCTCGTCCTTTCATACCAAACTTATAAATCCTTTATGGCGGCGGTCCCCAATCTTTCTGGCACCAGGAACCGGTTTCATGGAAGACAATGTTTCCATGGACAGAGGTGGGTTAGAGGAGGTGGCACTCAGGCAGTGATGTGAGAGATAAGGAGTGGCTTTAAAAACAGATGAAGCTTTGCTTCCCAGCTGCTCACCTGCTGCTGTGCGACCCCTCCTTCCTAAGTTTCATGGAAGACAATTTTTCCACAAGTGGGGCTGTGGGTGTGTGGGGTAGAGGTGGGAGGGACGTGGCGGCCTGGTCCTTAACAGGCCACAGACCGGGTTGGGGACTGCAGCTTTATGGCTCAGCTCATGGTTTTAACAAGACTTCTGAAATGATTGCAGCCAACCTTGCTGTCTACTGTAGCTGAACACTGGTGTATGTATATAATCCACACCAGTGGTCTCTGAAGTGAGGGTACAGGGCAGTCCATGCAGAGAAGAAATATCTTTAATGTCTATTACTTCACTTCTGACATATATGCTATTATTAAGTCTTTTTTTAAAAAGTACAGGTTATATAGAATTAGCCACATGATATTTAAGTTACTATTATTATTATTATTATTTCTTTCATCTCAAACTTTCTTGTGGGGGTCATTTTCCCTTTTCCTGATGAACATCTTTAGAAGTCTTTTTGGTGGAGGATTGTTAGTCATAAATTTTCTTAAGCCTGAAAACATATTTTGCCCTTTTTCTTGAAAGATAGCTTTGTTCAGTCTGTAATTCTAGGTTGATAGTTTTAATTTCTTTCACTGCTCAGAAGGTCCACTGTCGACTTAATTCCATTGTTTCTGTTCAGAAGTCATCTGCCAGTTGGTAGGCGATCTTTTTTTGTCTGTCTCTATCATCATATGTGGATTCATATTTCATCAATTCTGGAAATGCACCATCCATTATCTCTTTGAATTAGCTTACCTCTGTTCTCTCTAGTGTTTCTGTCACTCTTATTAGATATGCTAATATTTCTCATTCTGTCCTCCATGTCTTAACCTCTCATTAATTTTTTCTTCTATTTCATTGTTCCT